ATCAGAATGGAAGAGATCCAGACATATTGAGTGTTATTCACACTGTACAGTGACAGCAGAAATCATGTTTTCCTCCACGCTTCCTTTACATTGCTCCATTTCTCCGTCAATAAAGCCTCAGAAGTAACTCCCGAGGACATGTATTTAGCCCTTCCAAATTTTAGTCATTCCTTAAGGTCAAATCAATGTAATGATAAAATTATCTCTGAAGGAGCCTTGAATTCATAAGGAGTAGCTCATGATTCATTTCTCTCTTCAAATGTATTCAATTATTTTGTCAGAACTGGAGGATATGTTCTTAGCCTACTCTGAGGCTTCTTTGTGATAATCACTAAAGCATAATAATTCAGCAGTGAAATCTATTTATCTTTTTGGAGTCAGTTTTGATTTCATGCAGTCTAGGCCTCTAGAATTTGTCAAACTTTCTGTTAGGCTATAAGTATCCAGACCGTTACTGGGAGAGGACTGACTTCTGGTGGGCAGGAAGAACTAAGCAGCTGTGCGTAATGGTGCATACTTGTAATCCTAGCATAGAGATGAAGAGGCAGGAGGTGCAGAAAGATTTTAAATCAAATCCTGCCCGGACTACAGAATGAGACCCTGCCTCAGAAACCAAAACAAAAGAGATAACCATTTGAAACACCACCGGAAACAATAGAAATCACTCCAGTCATCAGGCAAGGAAATAAACATGACTCAAAAGCTACATGAACCTGTGACGCAGGTACAATGAGAGCCTGCATCCCAGAGCAGAGGACCAATCTTTTGTGGGATCATGGTAGCAGAGGTTTCTCACCCCAGGGCATCATTTGCATGTGCAGCCACTGAAGGAAAAATGATATAGTGGGAGATTGTTTGGGCAGAGTGTGGAGGGCTTTGGAGTTAATTCTGTCCAACAAGAAGGTAGACTGGGGTTAAACTGGTTCCTTTAACTGGGATTCCTGAATCCAATATCTTTGTTTCAGTTCTTTCAACATAATGGCTTTTAGAATCAGAACCAGATAAAAGATGTAGTAGCTTCTCAGAAAATGGAGAGAGAGAGAGAGAGAGAGAGAGAGAGAGAGAGAGAGAGAGAGAGAAAGAAACAATAAAATAAAGCTAGAATAATGGGTAGGTGGCCATGTCCATGGTGTGATTTCTAAGGACCCATTGACTTGAAATTCAATCTTGAAAAATTAAATCATTTGACTTAAAACTTAAAACTTACATTTGGCCGATCTCATCATGTCCCTGCCTGAGAAGACACTGTGATGAGGTATAGAGAGATCTGAAAAAGTAGCTAGGAGAGAAAGGAGACATTGCCAATGGGGAAGCATACTTAGGGCATTTTTGCAGACAGCACCCGGACAAACACTGCTGTCTTCATTTACCACATTTGAAAAACTACTGTTCAAAACTCAAATGAACCAATAAATATTCTATGCATCCCACCTATTACCCTACTACGGAACCCTTTGGTTCATGGAGCCAGTGCTACTCTTTCCTGATTGGACAGAAAATAGCAGGAGTACAACCTCATCCTTAAGGCCTCATGGTCTAAGTTAGTCTAGGAATGAGGCCTAGGGGATGAAGATTTTCCTCTGATTCTATGTGTGGCCTCTAGCCAGTCTCCAAATAGCTTTAGTTTCCTTGTATGTCAAACCAAGATAAATATCATCTCCTGCCTTCCCAGTCTCACTTCATTGCAAAGCATCACTTTTGCCACCTACACCAACCTTTTCCAGAGACCAACAGAAGAAAGCATTTGAGACTTTTTAAGATGAGCTATTTGAGCTATTAGCACTGTCTTCATGCTACGAGAAGCAAGGTCACATTAGGAGAAAGGAGAATGTAACAAGGTGTGATAATAGTGAAGACAACAAACTCACTCAGAAGGCAGTGTTTGTAGTGGAAGAGAAACCCCAAAGAGGGTTTGGGATTGGGGTACAAGGGAGACAAGTCCACAATTGGTACCAGATGCCATCAGAAGCTAACGACCTGACAAACACCATACTCATAAAACAAATTCTTTTAAAAGGAAGTAGATGGAAATATAAGCTAGTGAAGGAATTTGCAGCAGCTGCCACGAAACAGTTTCTCATTTCATAAACAGGTTTGAGTTTGCTCTCCCGCCCCCCACTCATGGTCTTACTTCATGACACCTTTCCCTTTTGTGTGTTCCTTGTGCTCTGCTCTGATGAAAATTCTGGATACATTCCTGGTGCTAGATGCCCATAACACCAACAAGAAATGTGGTCCTAGCCATATCAATGGAAAGAAACTCACGCACCGTGCTAGCTTTCGGTGCTTGTCCTTCATGATGATGTGGGCTCATCGCATAAAGTCACTTTAATAGTGTGTGCCCTGTTATACAAGTTCCTTGGCAATCAGCTGACATTACACAGAGAGTTAAAGACCCTTTTCTAGCCCTTCCTGCTCAACATGCTGAGGAAGATACAGTGGTTTGGAGATGAATAACATGTAGCATTTATGGATTGGAAGTTCTTTGATATTATAGATGACATATTCTGAGCTCATCCCACAGATGGTCAAGTTTTTACTACCTTATCCAGATGTTGAGTAAAGCCTCAGACACAGCCTCATTCCTTATATCACATACCCTCTGGTCAGCATTGGATCTGGGGAATTCACACAGACTCATTAATGATCCTGATTTCCTCAGCTTATGTTTTCTTTTATTTCTTTGGCTTGCATGGATGTTATATCATCTAGAGAATAACTATGGGGTAAGACAAAAAAAGATCCCTTCCCATCATACATCTCTACTTCTTCCACCATCTCAGGCATGCACAAAAGAAATGAGAGTCAACGGAATAATGTTTAAATCCTATCCATTAGGGACATCATTTATCACAGTCAGATCAAATCTGCCTCTTTTAGGGCCTACTACTGCTTTTGGAACTAAGTCTCAAATACAGTTGGACCTATGTACATATTTAATGGCACTTTGTTTTCTACATTCTTACACTTTTATCTAATTGTTTGATAAAGTCATCAACCACTAATACAAACCAAGGACAAGTAGAGCTCATCATTGGTGATGATGATAGCTACTTTCTCTAATGATTGTCACTGCTGGCAAGAACATCAAGAGTAAGAAAATACAATGTTAGTTTCTCTCACTAGAGACTTTGTCTTTGTGAAACCACCCGTGTGCAGTCCAATGTCATGAAAAAAAATATTCTTTGTTGATGCTGTTGTGAGATAATTCCACTGGAGCACAGATACTCTTGCCGAATAGAAAGTCTGTTTTACCAACTGTTGGCTGCATGGGGAACTTACTCAAATCATACAGCCCCAATCTTATCATTCCTTGTCTTTTATGTACAAAAAAACATGTCCTAGTTGACACACCTTTGTTAGCAAGAAAGTCAGTGAGAAGTAAAACTATAGAAGCCAAAAAGTAAGGTCAGTCCATTTAGGAACTTGTCTAGATCCTGGTATTATGAACTTGGTCTTGGATTATTAGGTCTTTATCCCTGTTGGAGCAAGTGTTAGTGGTCTATATGCTGGTCAGAATGGTTCCTTTATCATGGCATCAGTTATGTTAAGGTCTTGGGGACTATTATACTTTGTGTTTATTGGTGAATGAGTGATTGAGTGATTGGGACAGACTGGTTAAATCATAATAGGATAATTTTCTTTTATGTGATTTAATACATTTTACATTTTAGTAACATTGATTAGCTTTGTTATCTGAAATAGGAACAAATTTAATAAAGTAAGTTTTCATTGTGGTTACTATAGTCAAGAATATGGTTATTTAAAATTGGGCAAGAATAAGTATTGCTCTTCAAGAACTTCAATGTCCAGTGTGAGATCAAGGACACACTCAGATAATTGTCTTGTGGGTAAATGGATAAGTAACTAAGCAACTTAAGAACAAGTAAGTGCATGTATAACAAGGTCAAATAAATTATTAGAAGGCAGTTATTTTTATACTTTTACAAGAGATTTGAAGGAAGAAAGTGAATGGGGGAGGGTTGCTTTTTGGAAAAGGAAGGACTTTCAGAAATTTCATTTAACTGAAAAAAGTGTGGAAGTGAGAGAAATAAACAAAAGGGAGCCTGATAAGAAACAGATACTGAGATGGGATTGGCCCTTTGGCAGTGGGACAGCAAAGGGGTTGACCTGGGAACACTATCAACCTTGTAAAGTGTGTAGCCTATAAATCTTCTCCTATAAGGGAAGAAACTGAAACGTCAGGGTGTGAATTCCTCACTCTGTATCATTCAAGTATTAAATTCTGGAGCCAGCACTGAATTCTGGAGCTAATGTTTTCATTACCTCTATGTCTGGAGGCTATACTCTTCTTGTCCCACTGCCTCTTCATCATTGCTCCTATTATAGTCCAGGTTCTACAATCTCCTTGAACCCTGGAGAGTTTATATATCTCTCTGGCTACTGTTCTAAAAAGCAATTCTCTGGTAAGGAGAGTGTCTGGCACGTGATAGGTTTTCAATTCATACTGGTAGGTTTCCTTAGCCTGTGCCACTCTTCAGTGGTATGTACCCATAGTCAAAATATTTCATGTCAACCAGTATGTGATCTCAGATACTCAACCTCTTCACACAGTCACTCTGGGACTTTCTTGTGATTAGTTGTCTAAAGGACCAATGTCTGATGAAACCAGGGGTCTCCAGGATCAATTTTTGAGATTTGTTCTGGGTTTATTCTGATTGCTTAGGACCTAGAAATGTTGCTATTTAATATTTTGAGCATCATTCCTAGATCAATTTGTTTCTGAGAGTATCTAGAACCTTGGGAACCCATTGTCTACCTCACCCCATCATGACTGTCTCCCCTAGAAGGGCCACAGAAAGTTAGTTGTCCTGTTTTATGTTTATCATGGCTCATAGTTCATAGGCAGATGGAAGAAAGTGATGAGTCACACTTATACTATGAAGAAAATCATCCCGCTGTGTAGGTGTATTGTTCAGATATGTATATTGTTGTCATTTAGGTTTACCCTAAGATGTTTCCATTTCTGTTGTCTCCAGCTGTGCCCAACGACCATGTGGAGAACAGGGAAGATGTACACCGTTGCAACTTGACCATGCAGACATGGTAAATTGTACCTCCAGTGGCCCAGGTCACATGAAGTGTGCCATCACTTGTCAAAGGGGGTATGTACTTCAGACCAGCAGTGGGCAGTACCTCAGGAACATGCAGGTGAGTTGAAAGCTGAGGATAGGAAGGAAAGAGTTCCTAGGGCAAGAAGCTCTCTATCCTCTTCTTTCTTGTTAGACTGGGAGGGGTGGGAATTCTTAAATCCTCAAGAACAAAAACTGTGATCTCCATGAAAGGGAAACTTGGCAATACCAAATTTAAGGTGTCCAAACATATGAAACTGATTCCTTAAGGTGTTAATGTATCCACTGTATGGACAGTAGATTTGAGTGCTTATTCAGTGTTCCCTCAATTTGTCTTCTTCACAGATGACAATGTCTCAAAGTAGACTTGCTCATAATTCATAGCAAAACCGATTGCCATCAACTTGTCTGAGGTTCAATGTCAGCCTCCTGCTTTCCCGATTCCCTTCCAGGATTGTGGGAGGAATATAACAAAATTGCACCCCAAACCATTAAATCTGCAACCAAGGCAGGATTGCATCATGGTTCTGAGTTTTTATATACCCCACCCCACATTTCAACTGCAGCATTTCCAGGTTTTTGGGTCACCTGGAGATAGTAGAATGTGTTAGTGAAGAGCATGGTTCAAGAGACAGACCTAGGCAAAATTTTTGCCTTCATGATCTTTTAGATGTACAACAGTTAGAACAACCAAAATAAAATAATCCCTTTAAATTTGCTTCTGCATTTGCAACTATTCCAAACAAAAGTATTGAACTTGTTGAGTTATTACAATGGATGATGAACATTCTTTTAGGCTTCAGGTGGAATGATAGGCGTTGGGTGCTCTCATAGCTAAGCTTCTTGTATTAGTTTCACATCTCCCCTGGAGAAAGTTTGCAGCACTCAACAGGGGAGTTTTAAGTATAAACAACCATTGGGAAACAGGCTCACATTATGAGATAGTGGAAGTATGTACAAGGTAAACTGCAATTGTGCTTGAAGGGAGAGACAGAAATATGCATGATAGTGGAAAAAGAATAGGCACACCATTGCTAGTCAGAAATTAATTGTTTGCAAAATTGTAATATTTCAGTTTTCTGCCAATTGATTTCTTAACAGTTTGTGAACCCATGGAAGAATTTCACTTTCTTAGACATGGTCAGAATTTAGAGACACAATTATGAATTTGAGAAGGTCTCAAGAAATCACCTATACAGAGACAGTTTTAATGAAGATTGAGGCATCAAATTCCTTGTTTAGAAAGATCTCCTATCACCTGTTTTTAACTCAGGCAAAGATACTTCATGCTGAAAACGCAGCAGAAATAACTCAAGAAGTTAGGAACTAAATACATGTATGTGGTAGGTCAAGAAGAGCAGAGAAGAAAGGCTGTGTTTGTCACGCATTAAAGTTGGACAAATTTAAAACAAAATGGGCAATACTCAAAAAGCCAAGAGAAAAGCCAGGCATTACACATGGAGTTTAGAGACAGTCTTTAAATGATTAGTGGTTTGCTGCAGTTTGAACCAGACCTCCCAACTGTGCTAAGTGTGAGAAGAACCTGGTTAGAAGGAGGATGGGAGATCTTATTTGCCAAACACATGGTGGAGTTAGCAATGGCGCCCTGCAGCTGACCAGGCACTGTCACCCGACTCTGGCCCCATGCAGGAAATTGTACAATCCAGGCTCATGATCACAAGACAGTGGGGATATTTGCTTTCTGTTGACATGAGAACTGAAGCTAAATAGAAAAAATGTGTCTGGCTTTGACTTGGATCCTTCAGGCTGGCAACAGGAGCACACTGGAAAGCAGAGAAAAGCACTAAGCTGAGATGTAGTGTCAGGGGTGATAGGTGCCTTCAGCCGTCATTGGACCTTTGGCTTGTGTGCCAGTGTGGTCACCTGATGGGACAACTGCAGTTTCATCATAGAAACGCTTCTGCTGTCTTTGATCTTTATCCCCATGGCCAGATGCTTGTTTTTACCAAATAAGCCACGAGTTTCAGAGTCACTAAATGCCTGCTCATCTCATACCTGGCTGGATGCCTTCTCCCATGTCCCCTAAGCGGTTCAAAAGTCCTGATACTCTTTCAAGTCCTGTACTTATGTTAAGGGTTTGTTGTTGTTGTTGTTTTGGTTTGTTTGTTTGTTTGGAATTTTTTTTTTTTTTGCCTGAGGGTGGCTGTCCCTCTTGCTGGCTCCTTGGGTACTGCCCTCCCAACTCCTGCAATACCTGATGCTAAGCTTTCGTTTCTTCAGAGTTACTGCTTTCTTCTGCAATGTTTTCTATTTCTCTTATTTATAATTTATTTTCTTTATGTTGTATTCTCTCTAATCATTAGTGAAGGCTGTCTGACTATAGCAGACCAAATTAAAATGCATTGCTAGCATCTGTGAGCTTCTCTTTTCCCTTTTGTTGTTCGCCACTGACTGAGTGGATTTGCTTCCCTCTTAGACTTTCCGCCTCTGGAAAGCATCTTGTTGGTCCAGGACCAGGCCCTTCTGGGTACTCCATGCATATTTTCTTATTTATATAAAGGCAATACACTCTAGGCCTGCCCACTGAAATGGCAAGTTTGGGAACTTGGCTAGACTTACTCCCACTTACCACAGGTTGGATAGAAGCACCTGTGTGTATTAACTCTCTTAGGTGCCATGCACTATTCTTGACACAGGTGGTTATTTTTAGTATCAATCAGTATGTTTATTAGTAAGGGTGCCAGAAAGAAACAGTTGCTATCTAACTTCTTTGCACGGTAATGAGCAAATCTAGTCAACATCCATGTGTTTTAGTGTTTGTATCAAAAATGGAAAGTATTATTTTGAGTATGAAAGTTAAGCAATGTACTAAAAGTATTTTTATCAGTTATGAAATTCAGTGCATATACTATGCAAGGTGTTACCCTTTATTTCGTATTATTTTCCTTTGAGTTTTTGAGAGAAGATCTTACTCTGTAGCTCAGTCTAGTGTTGGATTCATGGCACCTTGCTCCAAAGTAGGTAATACAAGAGAAGTTTATAAACAGATGTCTTTAAAAGCTGTAGGCAGGAATGAAGCATATGCTGTGCCACGTGCAATAGTCCAGAGTGATGGGGCTTTGCTCTCACCCGTAAGCCTGAAAGGTTGGGTCTGTGGAACGACAGATCTTACAGGATCAAAGACCAGAACAAGGGAGAGAAGACAGCCACTGGATGAGTCAGTCTGCAGCCAAGCCAACCCTTTGGGGGGACAGGGAGAATAAGCACCTAGGACTTTCTTTTCTCTTGTCCTCTCCAGTTTGTCCCCAGGTCCTAGGGCAAGCATTCAAGCATCAGTAAGAGGCTTGAAGTCCTGGTTCTAGGGCAGGTTGGATAGAGACTGAAAAGAGATAGGTCAGAGTGAGGAAAGGGCAGCCCAGAGACATAGCTTGGAAGAGCAGTGCCCCAGTGATTTCCTGGTACAAACAGGCTCTCCTTATCAGCATCCTCCCGCCCAAGCAGTGAATCACAGGAAAGGACAAAGGCAGAATGGTCACACAAATGACCACTGGGACTATTCTAAAGCCAGGAAGCAAATCTGATTGATAGTCATTCTATGTGACATTGACAGAAGGAAATTCTGTTTCTAGAGAGAGATTCTCCTCACTTGTTCCTCGGGCTACTGGGACAAGGATGTGAACTGCGTGCGCGTTGACTGTGGTGTCCCCGAAGCATCCGTGGTGAACTATGCAAACTTCTCTTGCTCGGAGGGTACTGACTTCCTGAAACGCTGTTCCATCTCGTGTGTCCCACCAGCCAAACTCCAAGGTATCGTTGGGCCAACGAGGGAACTGAATGTGAGCCCCTTTCATTCCCTCACTCTGTAGGGGGACTTTTGTACTGTTCTTTCACTCATGTTTGCTTCGAAATTGCTATTCTCTGACATCTTCTTCAGATAACGCAAAATCCCCTCAGATACCACGATTTTTGCTGTTGTTGTTGTTATTGTTCCTGAGATGTGGAGAGATGTCCTGGATTTGGGTGTCATTAATAATGAATGAAATTTAGTCTTTGTTTCTTGTTTTTATGTGCATTCTCAGAATAAAGCCAATAAGCATAATTGTCCTGATAACATTAACAACAGAGATACACGCTGTTAATTTTTAATACCCACAGACATCCTGTAGTAGATATGCTTTCTTTTATTTTGTAAATTAGGAGAACACAGTAACACAATGTATCTCGGGTTGTGGTTGTGGCTACTTGAGATGAAGAGGTGCTGGACCAGGCTCTAAATGACCACCACATGCTCTTTGTCTAGACCTCTCAGCCTTCAGGATGCCACACAGTGACTCGTACCCTAGGCGGACCATGGGTCAGCATTTGATGGGAGATTTTAGAGACACTGCTCAACAAAGAATAATGGCACTTGAGAGTCAGTGTATCTGTTCGTTAACTAGTTTTTTGTTCTTTGTCCATGTGCTCTCTGTTCTGAGCATCACGTGATTCTCTTTCCTGGAGTCAGGACTGAGCCCGTGGCTGACTTGTCTGGAAGATGGACTCTGGTCTCTCCCTGAAGTCTACTGCAAGTTGGAATGTGACGCTCCTCCAGTTATTCCAAATGCCAATTTGCTTCTGCCGCGTTGCCTAGAGGGCAGCCATGATGTGGGTACCATCTGCAGATATAAGTGCAAGCCGGGCTACTATGTGATGGAGAACGCAGGGAGTCAAGGAAGGAAGTAAGTGTCATGGATTTGATCTCATGGTTTCCTTGCCTTGCACCGTGCTCTGTTCCCTCATGGCAAATTGCAGATCCTCTGGGATACCCACTGTTTATTGTGTTCGTTTTTTTCTGTATAATTTCTCTACACCTACACAGACACATTCTTCCATCAAGGCAGACCGGGGTCCAGGTATTTCCTATAAAGGCACTGTCTCCCATGAGAGATTCCATAGGCTCATGTAGGTGCTCTTGTGGGGGAAACTGGCTTCTCATTTTCCTTAGAGTTTAAATGATGAGCCTCCTGAATTATTATTTAGGCTGTCAGAGCCCAGCTCAATGTCTGCACAATTTTATTAGGATAACTCAAAGCTGAGGCCTATGGAGATGAACCTAGCTGAGGCCTGGGGTGTTTATTACATATGTCGTGTGTGGAAAGTTTCTTTCTCTGCCTCAATTATCTTAACTGGAAAATGGGATAATAAACAACCACCTACAGAATTGATAAAGGGGCTTCTTGAATGAGAACGCATTAAACAAGACTTAGTAAGTTGCTTTTTAACAGAATACAACACCTTTAGCTATCTCCATTGTTATTTCCATCATTCTGCTTTTTCTTCCAGGAGCATTGTGTGAGGGAGGCAGGGAAGTGGCAGGACAATGTGCTCAGGAACGGCTAAAGAGCGGAGAGATGGCTGACGTGCGCAGTGGAGAAGAAAGAACAGAACATTTGAGGATGGGAGAGTTAAAGGATGAGAGACGACAGCCATTTCTCTGAGCTCCTAGCTAAGCTTTATGTCGGGAAAATGAGGTTTCCATGGGGGATTCTGGATTTTCTGCCTCCCACATTCCTATTCCTGGGCAGGGGTACTTGAGACGCATCTGTGGGCGCAGTTTTTCTGGCTGAGAAAGTGGACACTTAGACCAGAACGTCACCATCAGTTTGGTCTTGAACATTTACGTTTGCAAGCACCCTGCTAAGGAGAGATTAAATTATTTACCATGCTGTGTAAACTGATTAAATCTTAGTTTACACCTGTTTATATAGCAGGCGACGAATTGGTAATCAGAAGTTTGCAAGGTGAGCATAAATCACTGTCGCCTGCCACTTGTGTTTACCCAGTGAACTATGTCTGCCTTGTTTTTACTCGTGTGGAAGAAGCCCAAAGCTGGACACATGAGGCCCTAAAATTCTTCTTAGGACGTACACTTCAGAAGAGAAGGAACTGAGAAAAACAGGCAGGAAACACAACTCCAAGAAAATACACACAGGGTGATTTTACATAGTGGTATGAAGTAGTGTCGGGGTGGGGCGGGGGCAATTGGGCACAGCTGCTGGAGGACTCAGGTTTGCATGGTAGTGAGCAATCTAGTATATCCACACGTCTTCAGTTTTGTATTCACAATGGGAAAGGGACGCATCATTTCTTTGGTCTTGTTTGGACAATGTTCTGAAAATATTCTATGTTATGAAGTTCAATGCATATACTACGCTAAGTGTTGCTTCATATTTCTTATTCATTTATTTTGCTTTGGGTTTTTGAGACAAGGTCATACTCTATATAGCCCAGGCTTACTTTGAACTCAGAGCAATCCTTCCACCTCAGTCTCCCAAGTGCTGGTCTGTTATTATTTTTTTAAAGAAAGAAACAACTATATAAATTTCAGCTGAATGTCTTCCCTTCTTGATTGTGTGAGATATGTTCGTACAAAAGAAACACACTCAAGGGCTGACTCTGGCTTCTGGACTCCCCCTCCACTGTAATTTCACTCCATTCTGCTCGCCCTGTGCCTTGTTATTTAATAATAAAGACCAAGACACCATACCTGGGCAGTGATACCTCAAAGATAGAATCAAAAACCATGGATAACCGGGCGATGGTGGCACACGCCTTTAATCCCAGCACTCGGGAGGCAGAGGCAGGCGGATCTCTGTGAGTTCGAGACCAGCCTGGTCTACAAGAGCTAGTTCCAGGACAGGCTCCAAAGCCACAGAGAAACCCTGTCTCGAAAAAAAAAAAAAACCAATAAATAAATAAAAACCATGGATAGTAGCATTTTCCTGACATCTCCAGTACTTGTGAGGTGAAGGCCAAATGATCAGGAGTTCAAAGCCATCCTTAGCTACATAGCAAGTTCAAAGGCATCCTGAGCAACATTACATTAGTTCTACAAATAGCAAAGAAAAATAAGACAAAAAGGCCAAAATAAAAACAAAGGCAACAAACAAAAAAAATATTAAACACTTCTAAAGATTTAGCAGGTTTCATGTTAGGACACCATAACTACACACTGTTTCCTGAAACCCTTCTTTTTCAGCTCCATTGACCACTTGCCCCGATTTTTCTTCTTTCTTTCTGTCTCTTCTTAGTTTCCTTCCCCAGTTTCTTCCCTCTGTCTGGTCCTCCAAAGACCTAAAAGCACAAAGGACAGTCTACACTAAATCATTTGGAATCTGCACATCTCTCTGCCCTGTGATGCTGGTAGACCCTGAAGCCTGCACAGCACATAAGACTCTGTGGTGTCTTGTGCTGTCTCATTAGTCAATTAACAGCAAGTTATTAACAATTTGCCTCCACCTAAATCAAGGCACATCTATATACCAGAATTTCTGTGTGTGTGATCTAAGCACTAGAATTTTGAAAATTTCCTTGACTTCATTTGGTATTCATTGTGCACTGACCTACGAGAAACGTTGTCCTTGTTAGAACAGTATGCACAGTGGAATTTTGGCAATGAATAAGTAGATGAACAACCCATATCTTAAAAAAAAATGTATTGTCCTTTTACATGGTGGACTTTTGCATATAATTTTTATATTACTTATTTTTAAAGATAATAGAGAAAATATAAACAGAATTGTAATCTCATGAATCAGTAATGATTACAATGTTTTAGGACTTATCACCCTTTCGCAGTGGATAATCCACACAATTTCATACTCTTTTCATCTTTGTCTAGCCATTTCTTCCACCTGCATACCACCATTAATCACATCTCTGCTATTTCATTAACGTGACTTCCAGGAAAGCTAAAATAAATGTGTCTGCATTATATTTTAACCAAAGACCATTTATAGTTTCCATTCTCTTTTACTCCCATGGGTCCTTTTTTCTCATTACACATTATCCTTCTGTGTGAAGGTTAGGTTAACCTCATTAGAGGTCCTAATTAACTTAATTTTATATCATTCTGGCCTTCTAACTTTGCTTGACAGTCTCTCTTATCCATCATTCATCAACATATATCCATAAGGTAGTGTGGAAGTCAGATCTTCTCAAAGTAGTAGTAAATAGTTATCCTATGTGAGTATTTCTCATGATTTCAACTTTTCCAAAGTGCGTGCGCGCGCACACACACACACACACACACACACACACACACACACACAAATGTTCTACAAACACAACTGAAGATAGAGACTGTAGGCTTCACATTGTGATTGCTTATGTTGGGTGGTAGTGATCACCTTCAATGGTGCGTTGTCCAGTCTAACCTGTGGGAAGAATCTGAGGGGAGGTAGAAACTAGGTATGTATTTGAGCCTTCTCTATATACAAAGAAGGACCAACCACTTGATATAGCAGCAAATGAAACAGTTAAGTCCAGGGAACTCTTCTGTTGTTTGGATAAGAACCATGGAGGTGATAATGATTCCTTGCTATGTGCTATGAGAACTAAGAATTTTGGCTACTTAACTCCATATATTTCTCGTGACAATAATATATCTTATTATGAAATGTTAGTACAATGTCTTGTGTTAATATAATATATAAATTGATATATATGTATATATATGCATTAGATATATTACATATTATTATCTATTATATGTGTATGTTGTATATTATTATCTCCCATTACAAAAACGAAACAGACTAAAAGTTATGTGATCATTTGGCCAATAAATGGCCACATTGAGATTAAAGCCATCTTAACACAATGGTCTGGCCCAATAATATTTTTAATCATGAGCAAATACCTTCATTTTTTTCTGGTCTCTTTTTTCATGTTTGTAAAATAAACTTCTAAATTATTTCTAGTGCTAAAAGTTTGCATTCTGTTTCCTGTCATTAGAGCAAAAATGACGGGCTAAGACCTTGGTATACTACCATCAAGAAAAGTAATGTATAGTTTGTTAATACCAAAAATTCAAGGTTTATTATAAACACAAGTACTGTACTACATGAATTAAGTAGGAAATACTTTGGGTAATCTTACAGTACTTCCCAAAGAACTTAGTCTGATTGAACAGCCAAAGCTTAAACGGCTTCTTTATTAACCAATGTAATAAAACATATTTACAGCATACAGAGGGGAATCCCACATCAAATCATTGTTAGCTGGCTTTGGTTGGTCTCTCCTCATTCACAATCCACAGGACTGGATGTAGATGTCACTTGAAAATGGAATGCTAAAATATTTTTCTCTTTAGATTTGTAGACTTGTGAGAACCCTAAATTAAAGAACCCTAAATTAAAGAAGATAATTAAAGAAGATAATTGAGTCAAAACTACTAAAAGATGTTTCTGCAGTCAAGTTTTACCTCATGACAGGGCATGGGCTTGGTGAGACTCAATCTTGAATGGCAACTCTGCTTGCTTAGTAGTTTTTTTTTTTTTCTTGAACAGGGTACCACTCTACTATTGTTAGAGTAGACTATCACTATTCTAATAGGAGCATTGGAAAGTCTTGTGAAGATGAAATGATTAAAGACAAAAAGCTGACACGGTTTCTGGTTATATTTTCCTGGCTTAGTAATGCCTTCTGCTATTTGCACTCATTAATCACTACTCCCACAGCTTCTCTGTTACCATGGTCACCACTGGATCAACTATTACCACCATCATTACAGCCACCATTATAACCACCACCACCACCACTGTTGTGACTATCACGACTACCTTCATGACTGTCATCTCCACTTCATCATTATTTCTACCACCTATCATCATCGCTGTCATCACTACGACAACCAACATCCTGGTTTCCCTAACACAGTAACTCTTGATAAGTAAGA